AAATGTGCTTGACACAATGGATGAATGTATGGATTATGATAAGAGATGTAAGAACCCCAATAAAAGCATTTAATAAAAAAAAGAAAGAAAAAGAACAACTAAGTGTATGGGGCAAGAATTAGTCTCATTGAATTACTAATATAAAACCCATTGCAGTCCAATTGATTGTGACACATAATGACTCTGTAAGACAGAGTTTAACTGCCAGTAAGATTTCCAAGCCTGTACATTTAAAAAAATTGTATTTTATGGTAGCAGACTGCTGCATCTTTCTCCATGGAGCCCTGGGTGTGTTTGAACCACTGCCCTTTTGATTAGCAGACTAGCCCTTTACCCGTGACTGCACCAGGGCTCTTCTGGTTCATATGAAGGTTCTAACCTCAAGTCTTAGAAACAAGCCACATTTTTTTTTGGTAGAAATAAAGAAAACACACAAAATAGCTTGAGAAATTAAAAAGGATTTGACATTCGATCTTCACAATAAAAGTGTAGGTTATGATTTTAAAAACATTAGCCTGCAGTTTCTTTAAAGTAGAGCATTAATGTCATTTTAGAAGTTTTTTTCTTTGTGTAATAGTTGATCTACTTGGTAAATGCTATGGACTTAGGGGCCTTGGACCATCTGATCTGGAATCTGATTTCTAAGTCTCATTATGTCAAGGGCTGCTGTGAAGAGTCACTGTCATTAAACGTGAACATCCTCTGAGCGAAGCAGTGCTGGTTGCCATAAGCAGCATCAAGGGAGACGCAGAGAGAGAATGCAGACAAAAGGAATTTGAAAATCCAACATGATAGTCCTGCAGAAAAGAACGCGAGGCCTTTGTCGGACAGCGTGGCGGTTTCTCGTTGAGTTGATAACCGCAGGGTCAGCATCGAAACCACCAGCTGCTAGGAGGGAGGAAGATTAAGCTGTCTACTCCCGTGAAGACTTCCAGTCTCAGAAACCCCCAGGGTCCATCTACTCTGTCCTACAGGATGGCTTTGAGTGGGTTTTGGTTTGGCTTCTACCCCCAGCACTTAGCATGTTTATTCCTTCAGCAGAAATTACACATAGCCGGTCACAGACACTGCTGTTCGGTCAGAGGTGGGTCTGACTCATGGTGACCCCGAGTGTGTCAGAGCAGAACTGTTCCTGAGGGTTTGCAGGATGTTTTGGAAGTAGACCGCCAGGCGTTTCTTTCTAGCCGCCCTTTGGGTTGAGTGCTGACAACCTTCTTGTTAGCACTCAAGTAGCTTAATGTGTTAGGTCACGGAGGGGCTTCACACCATTTTCACATCACAGCTGGGTGGACTGAGGGCATGGATTGTGGAAGACCACCAGGCTTTATTGCCATTGTCAACATGGTGTTGTAGGAGAAAGACGACGCTCGCTGCTCCCGGGAAGATTCCCGGCCTCGGAAACCCGACACAGGGTCGATTCGAGTCAGAGTGGCCTCCGTGGCTGTGGGTGGATGATGGATTTCAGTTGGGAGGAAGAGGAAACACGTCATTCAAATTAAGAAATAATTAGCCCCCTCCTCCCACCCCAAGTTAAGAAGCCAGTGAGTCATTTCTGTGAACGGCCATGTAAAGGGCAAACCTTTGCAATACAGAACAAAATGGGCAACATTACGTTTTGAAAACGTGTGAAAGCTTCGCCAAATGTGCTTCCAAGCATGGCAAAGTGCTCATCCCTGGCCATACTCCTGGTCTTTGACATGCTGAAGCCCATCGGAGTGGCTGTTAGGACACTCAGCCTGTTGATGGTTCCCTTGGTTCAGCACTGACGAGCGGCCTGTCCTGATGACATGGCTAACGCATATCGAGTGTGTGTGAGTATGACGTTTCACCTGAAAAGGACTATGCCCGGGGTCACTGGTATGATGTGCTCAGGATTTACTCTGCATCCAATTTTGAAGGGGGAGCAACTGCGAAGTGGAAGCAGAACTCTTTCTCATGCAGTGATTGTGCATGTGCGTGTGCGTGTGCTGTCTGTGTTGTGTTGTCACAGAAGAAAGGGTATTCCAATACTCTGTTGGGAGTAAAGCAAAGAGGTTTACTGAAGAATACATAAGGCTGAAACTGGAGGCTGGAGGTCACAGAGTGAAACTGGGTGTTCCCACGTCGGAGGGAGAAATGAGCCCGTACATAGGAAAGGGGGTGAGGGGTTGGCGCTGCGAGCAGCTTTACATATACTTGTCAATTCCTAGACAAGAGCAAGTCAAAGTGTTGCAGGTTAGCGAATCCACTCTCTACCAGTCTTCTAGAACCTGCGCCCCTGAAGCATCTCCTCGAAGCACTCTTCTCCTAAGGCCACACACTTCCTCACAAGCCCTATCCTGGCCTCTGCTCCTGACTGCTGAGGGCGATCTCACGTTTACAAGAAGCGCACAGGCTGCAGATCAAAGGCTCCGTCCTTAGGGAGGCAGAAAGGAGGACAAGGTACCTTTAACTCGGTAAAAACGGAGTCCTGATTCAGAGCCACGTCCGTCGTTTTCAATCATGCCAAATACCTCAGGGTCAGAGTGTCCTCATGAATTGTGTATGTGTGTGGGGCGGGGTTGCGGGAGCTAAGCGTTGGAAAAACAGAACAAAAACCAATCCTCTTGTTTTCCAGTTTTTAGAAGTGACAATGATTTTATGTGACAGCTGCCTAAATGTATAGGCAGGCAGGAAGGCACAAAACAATCGTGGGCGTGTTACGGAAATGATGACGTAAGTCAAGGAGGAGAGGAAACAGGAATAGAGGCCCTGTAAACAAGTCGAATGAAGTTCTAGTTTCCATTTTTGCTGATTTCAAACAGAAGATGATGACTTAGTGCTCTTTGAACCTTTAGATTTCTTTGGAATTGTTTGATTTCCGTGAAGTAAAACACATGCTCCTCTTTA